AGGAAACCAAAACGTATTCAAGATTACTATAATCTTGGGATGTAACGTCATGTAGCTTAGTTGGAAGGAGGATCCCGCCTGCCCGATCTTCAGGATAGAATTGTTGTTCCTTGAAGATGGAGGCAGCACGTACCTTCGAAACGTCAGTAATTTTCTACCAGATATATGACATCGCACCCCAGGCAACAGTGTGTGAGTGTAAGCTGTATCTTACAAAATGTATTGGCTGTGAATCACAAAGAATTTTTTGTACCTTAATGCTACAACCCACTCTTCCTCCAGCAATCTGGGGGGAAGCGTGACGGCTTTGTCTCTGTTAGTCTAGCCTTAAGAGATCATAAACCAAGGGTATTTGAGAACAGGGGGCTGAGGAGAATATTTCTATCTGCGTGGGAGGAAGCAAAAAGAAGTTGGGGCAATCTGCATTATGAAGAGCTTAATAATTTCTATTGTACTCATAGCGAAATATAATGAGAATGACCTAATCAAGAAGCATGAGATAAGATGGGAGTGCTCTAAACTTGCACGTGTAGTGGACTTAAGGGGACTGAGCCCATAAGCTTGCACAACACGATTCACAGTTTCTTCGCTTGGCCCTGGACTTCCCGACGGAGGAGGTGTGCATAGACAGCTTTCATCTCGGAATTTCTTATACCATTTCTTGATACTGTTGAAAACTGGTGCTGCCCTCTGGGATTCTGCTCGATATCGCCGCTGCACTGTCACAACGGACGAGGTTCTTGCGTATTCCAACACACAAAATGACTGCTCACGTTCACTGAGCGCCGTATTTGTTAGTACTGCCTTCTATCGGCAAACAGCGGCAACTATACGCGCGGGCTTTTAGAAAAAGATTGGAGAGATGCATTCTCTGTCGGCTTAAGAATTACCATTATCCGGTGCATAGTTCATTTGTTGTGAATTTTTTAAATGTTTCACGGACTTATGAATGACCCTGTACATGCGCACAAAGAACTGATACGAAGACTTCAAGGAGTAGCCTCTGAAGATGTGGACTGCGTTAATCACGCACTGAGCAGTGACTACTGGCGAACTCTTGTGAAGAGGCTGTGAGTTTTCAGGTTCCATAAAATGTTGGTGAGTCGGGATAGATCAGTCGGTATGGCTCCTGCGTCGGGCTGGAGGGCCCGGTTTCGATTCCAGAAGTACAAAAGTATTTCTTTTACCATAGAGTCCAGACAATGCTTGAGGCCCACCCAAACTTCTAGACAATGAACACTGGGGGGTATAGCGGCAGGAGTGTGAAGCTGACCACTCATTTCCATCTAGTCCGGAAGTCAAGAAGTGTGGAGTTATACCTCCACTGGGTCCTATGTCTTTATGGCAGTGTTTCACTAACGAAGCACAAGAAACTTTACCTTCTTGTAAAAGTTTGGTAATTTCTTGACTACATGAGCAAATGTCATCTGCTGAAGACGGATCCAGCTCCTCGGAGTTACTTGGCCCACTTTTGTGTGCATGATTGTAACGTTAATAACTGAATATGCGAACAAGATTCACGAAAATTTGATGAATTCATGGTGACTAAAATTGACTTACTGGCTCCTGCATTTCCTTCCTGAGGAAACATTAAATTTCATTTGCATGGGGAATTGTTGAGCATGAAGTCACCATAGCAACGCAGGTTTTTATTCTGCAAATTCACCGTCCGCATGTCTGTCTGTTGTTTAGTTTGGAAACTGCGTCAGAACGTATATTATAAAGACGCAGGTACATAAATAACGTAGAGGCTGCAACTTTATTAAGCTCGAGTGATTGAAATCTCTGCCGCTCCAGTAAATGTGCACGGGTTGTAATCTCGAGAACAAAGCGAGAAAGACTTCCACATCGAACTTTTCGACATTACTATTCAACGAAACTGGAGAGGGTGTCGGGCCCTACTCCATAATCCAGTATACAGAATTTCCAACTGCATTTGCATGTTATAGAATATATTTGATCTTGTTTATAAAATTAGACCAGCGGGTGTCAATATCAATATTCAGCAAATTTGGGACGGTGCAGGAGTCGACATTTCCACGTGTAGTACACAAAATTCCCAACTGAGTTTTGCAGTTTCCTTTTGTTTCTATTATTTAAGTGGGTTATTTAAAAACATTTTGTCTGTCTCAAAATTTTATAGCTTCGAATTAAATAATGGAAGATTAATGAACTGGGAAAGATTTTGAAGGAAGCTGCTGTGACCTAACTGGGTTACTCTACCGGAATGTAACTGGTGGGACTGAGGAAAACTACGATAAACCTCAAAGTATAACTACTGTCCCGCCGTCAAGATTCTAACCGAGCACTTCTAGAGCCTTACCTCTGAAAATCTGTTCGGTTTTGTAGCTCACAAAGCTTACATGCCTTGTAGGCACACAGATGATTAACAGTGCAATATTATAAGCTTGCGAAAAGGATTATTTTTGTCCTTAAGTAAAGCTGGTCTTTAATACGACTAAATACAGCTGAAAATCGCTACTTACAGCGAAGTATCGAAGAAAATCTGTCGAACGGTTTAGGAGCTGATGCTAGCTCACAGACAGACAGACAGACAGACAGACAGATAGAGAGACGTGTGCAAGGACGTCCAGTGTTAAATTTTATGAAATCAATCCAATGATTTCCGAAGAATTTTCTCTTCTCCATAGTCCTCAAATCTGTACTGAGACATTTTGGACGGTGACGTGAAGCTGATCACTCATTTTCATCCATTGCGAAGTATAAGAATATATGGAGCTACATCTCCAGTCTCCGTACGTCTTCACGAAGTTGTGCTTAATTAAGCACAGAGACATTTTTAACTACGTGTATATATGTGCTACTATGTAAGTTTATATATTTAATTACATAGACGATAATATGTCAGTCAACTGGGTGCAAGGGAAACTACAGTTTAATTCAGTTTAAATGGCTGAACTTTCTCCGTGGAGAGTTGAGCACGGGACAGAGGAGGGAAATGTCAAGTAACAGAAAATCTTTGCTACTCTGTGTGTCCCTATGCGCGCTCTTCTTCGCGATGCAACCGTCACTTGTTTGTTTCTTCTAAATAAAGAGACACTCCCCCACCTCCACTACCCTTCCATCACCTAGAATTTAATTTCCGGCGTCACAAAAGCAGAACAGTTTGTTTAACGCATTCGCGACATGGCCGGAGTGTCAAATTGAATTATCTATTCTCGTGGGAGCCGGGGGGCGGGAGGGGGAATTTTGTTCAGGATTGAGGCGCAATTCCAATTAAAATTGACCTGCTCTTCTACCCCACCTCCGCTTCTATTAAATAAATTGGGAAACAAGGGAAGCCTGTAGCTACGCCAAGACGTGAAGCAGCACTCACACTGAGCTTCACACTCTCACATAATTTCGTGGAACTTCCAGGCATAACCGAGCCATCGGAATAGTCGCAAGGTTCGCCTGTACAAAGCATAGCTGAACCCTTCCCGACCCTGAACACACAAGTCTGTCGGCCGTATCGACGGAAAGGGGGAATAAGACGAAGGAAGAGAAGATAAAGAAGAATAAGATGGAAGATGAGAAGATAGAGAAGAATAAGATGGAAGATGAGAAGATAGAGAAGAATAAGATGAAGGATGAGAAGATAGAGAAGAATAAGATGAAGGATGAGAAGATAGAGTAGGATAAGATGAAGGAAGAGAAGATAGAGAAGAATAAGATGAAGAATGAGAAGATAGAGTAGAATAAGATGAAGGAAGAGAAGATAGAGAAGAATAAGATGAAGGATGAGAAGATAGAGAAGAATAAGATGAAGGATGAGAAGATAGAGAAGAATAAGATGAAATGACAAGGAAAGAAAAAAAGATGAAAAGGAGAGGAATAGCTATTACTACTATTACTACTAGTAGTAGTAGTAATAGTAGCAGTAGTAGTTGCAGCAGTAGTAATAGCAGTAGCAGCAGCAGCAGATTAAATATGAGGTGATGCAGAAAGAAGTGGAGATTAAAAGGAGGGAAGAAGAAAATGAAAGAAGTGTACGAGACAGAAGAGAAATAACAGAGAAAGGTGAAAATAGAGAAATTGAAAACTTGCAGAGGAGAAGAATACAATGCAGAAGGAATAAAGAAGAAAGGGATGACAAATTTGCAAATTAAAATTTTGAACAGAAAACCTGAAGTTAAGAAAACACGCGGACGACGTATGAGATGAGACGATAATATTAAAATGTAAGTTAAAAATATTGGTTGAAGAAGGTGAAGTATGAATTAATTTGTCTCAAGGAAGGGGCCGTCTAAAAGTTCATTCAGGAACGACAATGAACAGACTCATATAAATGTAGGGAACTTTTCCGCTCGACGACAATTGAAAGTGTGGCTTTAGTCCGCAAGCAAACTATACCGACCGAGCGACCGCCCTTGTCGGCGAAGTTAGTGCCAACTTTAACGGATAGAGGGTGTCGCGTGGTCAGCGCAACGAATCCTCACGGCCGTTAATATCGGATTTATAGACAGGAGTCGCTACTTTTCCATTCAAGAAGCTCCTCAATTATCCTCACGAGGCTGAGTTGACCCCGTTCCAGACACACTTCTTCTGGTAGCACCGGGAATCGAACACGGGATCTCTAGCCAGGAACTCTGAACACTAGTCCACAGAGGTGGTACACATAAAAATTAGAAAACTGAAGATTTTAATTTATATTTTAATTATATTTTTTAATTATATATTAATTATTATATTACTAATAATATATATAATATAATAATATGTATTGATATATATTAATTATTATATTTTATTAATTATATTACATTTTAATTTAATTTATAATATATATGGCTGCAAAGTAAAATGAATGCACTTGTCTATGTTGGGATTTACTACTGTTCTCGTCGTCTGCGATATATCGAAGATACTAGGGCAAGAGAATGACGTACGCGTCTCCAGTTTTCCGTGGATAAGAGCGACGTTGCTGTAAAACATACTTTCTTCTGATGGCATCTTGCGTTGCTTTTGTTTCCAGCCCACACAACTACTAACTTCCGAGGATGGAGTCTAGCGCAAGGATTCCCCTTACATCTGCTAGTCACGTGACGGAATCGCGGAGTCCGAAAGAGCAAAAATTGTCTCCTACTCAGCAGCAGCTCAGCTCAAAACCAAACCAGGTAAACAGGTTCTCATATTCTAATTATTTCAGAAGCATTTTTGTTTCGGTAAACGTCGATGCTCATTCTGTCCAGAACCTTTTGTCTTCTCGTTTGCTTCCTAAAAACATAGAAATTAGAATATACAGAACTATAACTTTGCCTGTGGTTCTGTGTGGGTGTGAAACTTTGTCTCTGACATTAAGGGAGGAACATAAGCTGAGGGTGTTTGAGAACAGGGTGTTGAGGAGAATTCTAGACCGAAGAGAGATGAAATGACAGAAGGTTGGAGAAAACTGCATAATGAGGAGCTTCATAACATGTACTCGTCTCCAAGTATAATTAGAATTATCAAGCCAAGGAGGATGAAGTGGGCATGTCATGTAGCACGAATGGGGGAGACGCGGAATGCATATAGAATATTGATGGGAAAGCTAGAAGGAAAGAGATCACTGGGAAAACCATGACGTAGGTAGGTGGACAATATTAAAATTGATCTTAGAGAGATAGGATGGGATGGTATGTATTGGATTTATCTAGCTCAGGATAGGGACCAGTGGAGGGCTCTTGTGAAAACGGTAATGAACCTTCGGGTTCCATAAAATACAGGAAAATTCTTGAGTAGCTACACAATTGGCGGTTTCTCAAGAGGGACTCAGGTCCAAGATGCTCAGGTGAGCATGTTATATCAGTAGATCACTAAAGTCGCCTCTCATATCGATATATCTCGATGCTCAGGTTAGCACCGTGCTGCTGTACGGGATTCCAATCGTGTCGCTGGTGATCGAGTCCCAGGAGAGGCTGTGTCTGGCGCAGATCTCCAACACACTCCTCAAGGAATTCAGTTACAACGAAATCCACAACCGGCGGGTAGCTCTGGGAATCACGTGCGTTCAGTGCACGCCGGTTCAGCTTGAGATCCTGCGTCGGGCCGGCGCCATGCCTGTATCGTCCCGACGCTGCGGTATGATCACGCGTCGGGAGGCCGAACGTCTCTGCAAGTCCTTTCTGGGGGACAACTCTCCTCCACGCCTGCCGGAGGACTTTGCCTTCTCAGTACACCACGAATGTGCGTGGGGGTGCCGCGGGGCCTTCCTGCCCGCACGATACAACTCCTCTAGAGCCAAGTGCATCAAGTGCGCCTTCTGTGGCCTCTTCTTCTCGCCAAATAAGTTCATCTTCCACTCTCATCGCACTGGCCCCGCCGCCAAGTACGTGCAACCTGACGCCGCCAACTTCAACTCCTGGAGGAGACACATGAAGCTCAGTGGCTCGCCGCCAGATGAGGTAATACCATAAGTGATAATGGTCCATATTCTAACCCCGATGAATCAAGTCCATTAAACCGTTTCTTTGACCATAAAATTGCCAAGCGTTGAACATTTCGACCTTTATAAAAATTACCAAAAATTACTATATCTAAGAGCATGTGGCGTCTCTTGGCAATTTATCTGAAGTATGTTGTCAAGACACACCTGGAGATATTTGTTGCGCACGCTCGACGTTTTTACGGCGTTTTCTTACTTTATTCACAGTTCCTACTAACCAGTGGATCCATCCATCCATCCATCCATCCATCCATCCATTTATCTATGGCTTTACAGCCTTTTGTTTAACCTTGGTTTTTGTTTCTTGATTTTTACACAGCCAGTAGGTCTCCTTGGACGGGGGATCAGCCCGTCGCAAGGTGTCTATCTGCACACACAGGAGAGCACAAACAAAGAATAAATGCACACAGACAACCATGCTTCTAGTGGGATTCGAACCAACGATCCCAATGTTAGAGCTGGCGAAGAGAGCTCGTACCTTAGACTGCGAGGTCACCGTTATCAGCTTTATTTATATTCGTAGAGACTGAGTCCACTCGGTACTGCGGCCACTACTGGCCTACTGGACCAGCTCCAGATGATAGATGACGGTGATTGTGGAGCAACTGGTAGAATGAAGATTGGCAGGGGAAACCGAAGTACTCGGAGAAACTGCCGCCGCGATCCACGCTCGAACCCGGGCCGCTGGGGTGGGAATCCAGCTACTAACCGCCTACGCTACGGCGCGGACCTTTTGCTGACAGTTGCTGGCACGAATATGAGAGTTTGACTTTGAGCCCGTTCAGACGTCTCACTAGTTCGATTGCAGTCTAGGCTGCAGGCGTTTGGAAACAGTGGTAGAACATTCCCTACTGCCAACAATTCACCTTCATACCGGACGAACTCTGCCTTCTATTTGGCACAGTAGGAATTATGATTGAAATTCTAGGAATAAGATTCATTTTAATATTATCCTCCATGCGGTAGCATAGTTGGTTGAGGCACTATGCTACAAGCCGGAAGATCGCGGGTTCAAGTCCCGATGTCATTGGATTTTTTTTTCAATTGACCTAATCCTTCCAGCCACACTATGGCCCTGGAGTCGACTCAGACTCTAACAGAAATGAGTACCAGGAATATTCCTGAGGGGTAAAGGGCGGCCGGCGCGTAAGGCTGAAAATCTTACCGTCATCTGTGAGCCGATTGTCACGGCCTGTTACAGGGTAGCTTTACTTTACCTCCATTTACAACGTTTATCACTGCAGTTTGGTTTTAACGCTTGCTTCTAGATCACACACGCTTGGGAAGACGTAAAGGCGATGTTCAATGGCGGAACGAGGAAACGTTTATTGGCGTCTGCAGCCGTCGCTCACAACCAGAGTCGCCACCCGCCATCAACACCGACACCGGCCAAACAAGTCAAGGTAACGCAGGAATCCTCGCCGTCCACAGCACCCTTCTCGGCCACCCCCGCCTCTATCCCCGCACCACCGCCCCGTGTTCCACCCTTCCCTGACCTCCCCTTGCCACTTTCCCGCAGCCTGGTAATGGATTACGTGTGGCATCACAGCACCAGCAACATTAAGCACCATCAGTTCCCGTTCCCGCCTTACGCGGCACTGCCCTGGCTGGCGAAGCGGGGGAGCCCGTTCCTGGGTTTCGGACCGGCGCCCCATCCCGACGGTTCGCTCCACGCAGCGGTGGGGCCACAGCCGGGCGACAACAAGTTGTATCAGTCGGCGTTCCGACCCGTGCACCCTGTGTTACCTCGGCCCTTGGAGCCGGAACAGCGGCCGGACTACGAACTGGAGGCCTGCAGCGACGAGGAGACAGTGGACATCGAGACGACAGAGGAGGACGTGCACGCAAGCACCGACAGTGTTGCCAACCGCTGGAGCAAGGATCAGGTGAGTGCAGTTGCGAGTCACTTTACTTGCGCGGCCTTCAGCTCGGAGCCGCTCAGCCGCCGGTATCTCCATGAACTGACCGATGCTTCGTACCTATTTTACGTGTTAAAAGATAATTCGTCCTCTAGACACGCGCGTCCACTGAGGCTTGCTAAGGGAACCGAAGTAACCTTCCCCACTAATAAGCTTTTATTTGTGTGCCGTGTTTTGTTTGAACGTGTTTATATGTGCTATTTCTCTGTTGTCTTATTGCAGTACCACTGCCACCGGGTGGAAACCCATTTGCAGTTAAATAATAATAATAATAACAATAATAATAATAATAATAATAATAATAATAATAATAATGAACGGCCATGGAACGAAACCCAGTTAGCCACGGCGGCAAAACCCATGACTGATCACCTGAACTACAACACAACCAAGAGAGATATGTTAGTCTTTGAAAAGTACTGAGGTTATATTAAGCAGGTGTCGCTGTTTGTTGCGGATGCAAAGGGCGGTAGCGATGTGGCCTGTTTTGATGCGACGACTTGACTCAAGCATGTGTTGGCTATTTAACATCCACACTCTCTTCCAACAACTCTTCCTCCAGACAGAAGTTTGATGTGACAAAGACATGATAGAGGCCTCTTAAGAATAGATCAGTACCAAATTCAGAGAGGACGCGCTGCACCTTGTCTCATGCACACTGAAACATTTGAGTGCAGAAGGAAAACATTTCGACCGTGCTTCTCCGTGGAATTTGATAAATTCTATAAACAAGTAAAATTANTCGCATTAAGTGGAGGGATTGTTTTGAAAGAGACTGTGGACCTGTCGTCTTGACAGATTACTGATGATGATGACCATAATAATTAAGAGTTCTGTCTGCCGAGAAATTTACGTAAGCTCCAATCTTTGACACTTTGTTTTAATAGGACGAAGTCTGCGAAAAGAAGCCTTTAGGTATAAGGTAAATAAAAATATATAAGCCGAGATGTTATGGCCCTGTTGAATGACTGAAATATGATTTATTAGCTACAAATATATTGCACTGATCAGAACAAGGAACAAACTGAAGAAGGGGTGAAAACAAAGGTAAAATAAAGTACAAGAAAAGGTAAAGTTGTCCCTGTGCTTAAGCTCCACTCCGTGGAAACGAAGGAGGGGGGGAGGACTGGAGAGACAGCTCCACATTCTTGACCTTGGCACCAGATTTCCGTGGCCATCCTCACACCCCTGTCGCTTTAGCCCCAGGGAAACAGCCCCCGTACCCATTTCATTGCAGACTGGGTGGGCCCCAGAGAAGAAAAGAATCTACATGTAATCCAGAACGGAAGCACGAGGTTAGGAAGAACAGATTACTGTGGAACCTGAAGGTGGAATATCCATGAAGGGTGAAAGAAACGCAGAGAGGAAGAAGAAAAATACACAGGACGGCGCCACTCCTGCTTATTTTTTCTACCGCAGTGAGAAAACAAACATTCGAAAGAAATCCTTTTTCAAGAATGAATTCTTTAATATTATTTCCGGGCTGGTGGGGCTGTACATCTGTATCTAACCGCAATGCAGTCTTGCAGGTGGAGATTTAATGCGACAACTTCTAGTCTGAATAGTGTGTAAATGAACTTCAAAGTTAATTTAAGTAATCACGACCAGATATGTCACAGGAGAGCAATTCGGAGCTAATTCGAGTTGAGAAGATTGGTCGTTTCGGGCTTGCTCGTCCGCATGCTAACGACCGTTAAATAAGAAGCGAGTCTCATACCAAATTACATCAAGTATGGTAGCTACCATCGGCAATGTCGTTGCCACAGATGTATTCTTCTACAGACTGCCTGCTAATTTATATTTTGCGCTTCCACTTTGACTGGCTTATGTCACGTGATCGCTACTCCAGTATTGTGTATGGACAAGATGCGTGGACACAAAGAAAACACTTCTCCCAATATTGATGGCCGCGTGTGTACTACGGGCTTTACCTAGCGATGGATTTACATGTAACAGTATCTTTTTATCTTTTCTAACATAAATGTTGTGAAAATTACATAGCAGTTTCAGTAACAATTATATTGTCAGGAACATGTTTCCGAAATATGGGCCGGGGGTGGGGGTTCACGTGTCCGAGAGCTCCCCAGAGAAGTCCTCTCCCGTCGTGCAAAATTTGGTTGAAAAAAACTCGAACAGTGTGGAAAAGTACAAAGAACAAAGAAATGTATATGAAGTTGTGACACGCACATGTGGCTTCAAGCGCCGAGACGCCGAGGCGGCTCTTGTTGCACTCACAAACACATCCGTGTGCAGTTTACTTGTAACTCCCCGGAACAGAATTCAACTTGAGAAGCTTCTAGTCGTTCAGCTGTTAAAGAAATTATGCTCATTTCATGGAAACAGATTGCTCACTTTTGTGTTCACTATTACGGCCCGTCACTGGACGAATAGAACACAGGAAGAATGTAGTATGGTAAATTGAAAACCAACGTTTCGAAGAAACGTATCGCCTCCATTCTCAGGGTCGAAGAGTAAGCCAAACAAGAAGCCAGCAATAAACAAAAGGTTTGCATTATTTTTAGGCCCTGAGAAGGGAGGCGATACGTTTAACCGAAACACTGTCGGGCTTGTACCAAATTATACGGCGTTACGGCCTATAAATCGTGTTCTCCGAAGTAATCAGTGTGAATACTTCGAATCTAAATGATGAAAATCCACAACCTCACTTCCTGTTTCTTTAATATTCATTTTGGGGCGCGCCATAGCTCAAGCGGTTAATCGCTGGCTTCCCGCCGCGAAGGCCCGGGTTAGATCCCGGGTCTGGTCAAGTGGGATTTGTGGTGAACTAAGTGGCGCTGGGGCAGGTTTCCTCTGCCAATTCTCATTTCACCAACCGCTCCACATTTATCATCTTTCATCCGGGGCTGGTACAATAGGCCAAAAAATGACCGACGTACCAAGTGGATTCAGTCTCACCCCACCCCCAAGAAAATAAACTGAATTACGCAGTGAACTGTGTTGCACTTGTAACGCCCTTAACTCGTCTTTGGGTTGTACACGGTTCGAACACCTCTTGGGCTGCAACTGCCATGACACGAGTCCTTCCGTGGTTTCCTGTGTTCGAAGTAAAGGTCTCAGATACTATATTCCATCTGCTATAGAAACGAGGGCCTGACATCGTCAGCTGGTGACGCAGAACGACACTACTTTCTGTTTTCAGTGCTCTGCTGGTAACCATACATAATTACACATAGAGTTTCTTGCCCTAAGGGTCGTCCATAATTATATATTCATAGGTCCATTCATTCATTCATTCAGACCTTTGTTGGGCCCTGGTCTCTCCTTCAGTCCCACATGACGCACTGTGGGTCATAAAGTACTTGAACTTTTTCTTTTTAATGCTAGTGGGGTGGGACTAAGTCCCTTGTACTGCGGCCACTTCTGGCCTATTGTACCAGCCCCAGATGATAGGTGAGGGTGATTGTTGAGCAATTGGTAGAATGAACATTGGCAGAGGAAACCGAAGTACTCGGAGAAAACCTGCCCCAGCGCAATTTTGTCCACCACAAATCCAACTTGACCAGACCCGGGATCGAACACGGGCCGCCGCGGTGGGAATCCAGCGACTAACCGCTTGAGCTATGGCGCGGCCGGGATTGCAGGTTACTCGTGTTTTCATACTAAAGTTAAACTTAGGTATGGGCTACCCAGAAATAAAGCATTCAGTAAGATAATTTTATATTCGTAATTGTCCATAATTATATATTTATAGATCCTTTCATTCACTCATTCAGACTTTTGTTGGGATCTGGACTCTTCTTCACTTTCGTAATCTCTTTTACACAGTCGGTAGGACTCCTTGGACGAGGGATCAGCCCGTCGCAAGGTCGCTACCTACACAGAGGACAACATAAACACAGAACAAGCGCACACACACATCCATGTCTCGAGTGGAATTCGAACCCATGACCTCAGAGTTCGAGCTGGCGAAGACGGTTCATGCCTTAGACCTCCCGGCCACTGTGATCGGCCTTTGTACGTTCTATGAACATTTATTTTGACGATGTTATTGTTCAGCATTCAGATGCTGGCTTCTTACCGCCGAGGTCTCAGTTCAATCCCGCGTGAATGCACGTGAGAGTTGCGGTAATGTGATAACACTGAAGAAAGTCTGTCGGGTTTTTCCTACTCATCAGCATTCCACCACTGCTCCAGAGCCACACAGCATTTCTTCCTAACCAGGCAGCACATCGTAAGCTGAAAGCCATGTCTCTGCCCAGACACCAGAGAGGGCACTGAGTAAATAAGTTCTGGTGTTAAATTCATGTTTATTTTTAATTATTTTAATTCCATAATTATAATTATTCGGGTTCTGTTGTCAGACACATATTAGTTATTTGCTTCCATCATTACTTCATCCTTCAATATATACAGAGAAAAGTAATATAACGCAGTATCTGGTTACCACTGCAACGAACTGTTGCATGAAACTAAGTTATGTAGTAAGTCACGAATGAGTGAAAAGTATATTGTTTCCGTGTATCATGTCTGTTGTGTGAATACTGATATTTTTATATGGGTATGCAAAATATAGTGTACTATACTGTGGTGGGTACATCCGTTGCTGGGTAACGGTCATGAAACAGTGCCCGTTTTTGTGGTAGCGGATTCATACTAATCGATGTTATGAAACCCGTTTCTGGGCAACAGCTCGGTAAAGACGATTCCGCGGCAACGAATACGCACGCAATAATTTCTATGTGGTCCGTGCCGAGAAGTTACTATAACCAGGAGAGCTCGAGCTATGAGTGAGTCAAGCTTATGTAGCATAAGATACGTAAGTTAGGCACGATCTGTTCTGTAAAGCCAGTACTGACAGAGGACTTGCGTGTAGTGCAGAAGGAAGAATTTTCGATAACATGTTATATGTGCGAAACGTACATTTGACGAAAAGTCACGTGTATTCATAAGACACAAACCCATCTTCTCGTCGGAGAGGATGTTATATAAGGACTGTTACCGCAAGA